AGGGTCAATATGGTAATAACATTCAAACTCCAAACCAATTACATTACAGCCACCATCGAACCAAAAAAGTTCATTTAAATACACATGAGACTATTTGGTATCATCTCTGTTATTGCTTTGCTTGACTCATCAAAACTCGAGAGCTCTCTCTTATATATCTCTCTCCTTCATCAATCGCTGATGCAGACACTTACGCCTAACACCGCCGATATATTCCAAACAAAACGCCGTCGTATCACCTGCAACGCACAAACCTCGACGTTGATCCCCACGAAGCCCATTTCGGGTTTTCCGGTGAAACAAACAAACCAAGAACATCTCAGAAACCTCGAAAATGTTCTTCAAACCACAAATCATCAAGAAAATGTTTCTTCTCGTCAAGATAAGACAACTTCGACGTCGACTTTACTCGGTGGTTTGAATTTGGCAAGAATCTGGCCTCAAATGAAAGCAGCCGTCGACGAAATGTCGCCAAAGAATCTCAAGAAGCTTCAAAGACTTCTCTCGAAGTCAGAGGAACGTTCGCCGAAGAACAAGCTCGGGTCTAAATGGAGGGAGCTACACGGGTCGAATAACTGGGTCGGGTTATTGGATCCTTTAGACGAGAATCTCCGGCGAGAGCTTGTACGTTACGGCGAGTTTGTTCAGGCGGCTTATCACGCGTTTCACTCTGACCCGGCAGGATCACCGAGACACGTGGCGTTACCCGATGGTTCTTACAAGGTGACGAAGAGTCTTTACGCCACGTCATCTATTCGTTTGCCTAAGTGGATCGATGACGTGGCACCTGATCTAAAGTGGATGACTAAGCAGACGAGCTGGGTTGGGTACGTGGCGGTATGCGATGATCCGAGAGAGATCCGACGGATGGGGAGGAGAGAGATTGTTATCGCGCTTCGTGGAACCGCCACGTTGCTTGAGTGGTCGGAGAATTTCAGGCCCAATCTTGTTTCTATGCCCGAGCCCAAACCCGAACAATCTGAGCCGACCCGGCCCAAAGTAGAATGCGGATTTAACAGCCTCTACACGACTTGTAGCCAATACGCGCCGAGCCTGGCCGAGACGTTAATAGAGGAGATCAAACGGCTCGTCGAGCTCTACCAAGGCGAGCAGCTTAGCATCAGCGTCACCGGACATAGTCTCGGTGCCGCTATCGCGCTCCTCGCCGCAGACGACATCGCGACGCGTGTAAATTACGCGCCACCTGTGTCAGTATTTTCTTTTGGTGGACCTCGGGTTGGAAACCGCGAGTTTGCCGATAGGCTCGATTCAAAAGGAGTGAAAGTCCTTCGCGTTGTGAACAGCCAAGACTTGGTGACGAAAGTCCCCGGAATATTCTCCGATAACAACAACAACCAAGGGCAGAATCGTAATAACAACGGGAAAAGTCAAAGAGGTATCATGGAGATGGTAGAGAGGAACAACCCATGGGCTTACTCGCATGTAGGAGCTGAGCTGCGTGTGGACATGAAAATGTCTCCATACTTGAAACCTAATGCTGACGTGGCGTGTTGTCATGACTTGGAGGCGTATTTGCATTTGGTCGATGGGTTTTTGGCGTCCAACTGTCCGTTTCGGACAAACGCGAAACGGAGTTTAAGGAAGTTGTTGGATGAGCAACGATCTAACGTTAAGGCTTTGTACACGGGAAAGGCTTTGAGACAACACCGTTTTGTTTCCGATAACGGAGATGTTTTGCCAAGTCCGTCGTCTTCATGAGCTTTGATTTTTCTTCTTCCTTTAAAC